ATATATATATATATATATATATATATATATATATATATATATATATATATATATATATATATATATATATATATATATATATATATATATATATATATATATATATATATATATATATATATATATATATATATATATATATATATATATATATATATATATATATATATATATATATATATATATATATATATATATATATATATATATATATATATATATATATATATATATATATATATATATATATATATATATATATATATATATATATATATATATATATATATATATATATATATATAATTATTTTTTTTTTACACACTGTTTATTTTACTAAAACATCTACTTTACTCTCTCCTGGTTAAATAGTCACTGTATGTAGTTTGGAAGAAAATTATAAATAAACATGTAAATCCACCAGCTTTGTTTGAATTTTCAAGCAGCATAATGTTAGGTTATGTGGACCATCAGCCATCATATATCAAAGAATATGATCCTTTTAAACCATTTTAACAATGGAATACACGGTTTTTACACATATTTAAAAACCCAAATATAAAATATTTGACAAAATAATTCTGACGTTTGTCAATATTTACAGAAAAGGGGGAAAAACATAAAAGCAATATATGCATAAATTACTGGGGCTGCTGTATGTCACGTGACAATCTTGACATGTCGCTAGAGGAACTTTAATGGTGCGTTCACATCAGATGTGGATGAAGCACCAAGCTCTAGTAATTTACATGTTAAAAAGCACATAAACCGGAATTGTAATCGTTTATATGTATTTAGAAAAGTTATTACAACCTAACGCCTTTGTTATTGCTTTGACAACATTGTGATTTGTTTTACAGTCATGACAATAAAGCTCTTTAAATTTGAGTGAGAGAGAAAGACTTGAGATTTTAACAAACTTTATTTTGCCTTTTTAAAGGGGAATCAAAACAAAATCAGTATAAAATAATTTTAAAAATTTACAATTACACATTTTTCCCTTTTAAAAAAAATTCAGAAAAAGATACATTTTCTCCTATAACAGTACATATCTTTAAAACTTTAAATATTGTCCATCAATCTATAAAAATTTTGTTCTAGATTCTAGATACAAACATTGTTCTTTTTTCCCAATTTCCACTCCAAAAATGAAACAAACATCAGATAAAATTTCTCCAAACAATTCAAACAATTTATTTAAAAACTCAAATAATAAAAGCAATCGTTCAGATTGAAGAAAACAATGACAAACTGTCTCTCTACAATTACAAAATGACATAAATCTGTAACAGAGTTTAAAACAGACACAAAAGCATTTACAGGAACAATACCATATTCTCCATTGAATATCTCTAACCCCTTTTGTCAATGACAGCTTATAAATTGCTTCCCATACTGGCATTATTTAATCTTTAACTTTCAAAAGTTTTCTCCAGGATATGTCAATCCTATTCTTTAGTTTTCCTTTGTTTAACACTTTAACTCAGAAAAAATGAATACATTTTTCACCAACAGAATTAAAAACAGTAAAACGAACATCACTTTTAAAAATTCAGTATAAAAGTTGAAAGTCCTATTCATCCATTTTTGGTCTTATGCATATGTTCGGAAAAAAAGTCAGTGCATTCAGGCAATTCGCTTCCTTTAATCCAGTTTTTGAGTTTAAACTTTTCTTTTTCTGATAGAGTACCGAAAAACTGAATTTGTCCAACTTTCCTTAAAGAATGAATATCAAGTCATTGTGCCACTGCATTAACATTATTTTGATTTGGACCTGCTAGCATTGCCAAATCCTTCACTTTTAAAATACCAGTTTTGATGAAAATATTTAGTCCTACAAAATCATCTTTTTTAAAAAACAATTTGTGATATATGCACAATTGGTTCTTCTAATAACCAGAACAAAAAGGAAATTTTTGTAAACATTTTTTTTTCTTTCTACAAGACCAAGCTTTGGAAACACTGCAATAAAATGGAAAAAAAAAACTCTCACAATTAAAACATTGGTATCCAAAACAAAAAGTTTGTTTTAATCCCAAATTTCCAAACTGCTTTAAGATATGTTCAGTTAACAGTCGCCATAGATCTTCCAATTTTCCATATAAAAACTTTCGCACAAATTGTATGCTACAAGCAGCTTTTCTGCTTGCCAAGTGAACCAAAACCTTGACCTCCTAATTCTTTTGATAAAAATAAAATATTCTGTGGTATCCATTGCAATTGATTCCAAAAGTCTAAATTATTTGTTGTGCAATTAAAATCTCCAGCTAAAAAAAGAAAATCTTCAGAGGTTCATCCTTCTAAAGTATTAAAAAATAATAATAAAAAAATTCTCTTGCAATAACAGGGGTGTAAACATTTATTAAGATAATTTTTTCCTTCATATCTTGCAGTGACTTTAATTAATCTACCAACTATAATTTCCTCTACTTCATAAGACAAGGGTGAAAATTATCTTGAAGAAAGAATGGCCACGCCAGCACTGGTATCTTTTATGATTCATTATAATAGTGCCATACCATTTTTTTTTTTGCCAATCAACCTCATTATTAATACATGAATGAGTTTCTTGTTCAAATGAAATGTCAATATTTTTTCATTTAATTAGTTGAAAAAAAGAAGCTCTCTGTTTAACATGTCATGCTCCATTTAAATTTAGTGAGGAAATCTTAAAGTCAGCCATAATCAAGAAAGAAATGGCTATTAAGATAATGCTCACTACACAGCTTTGCTTATTGTAGTGATCCTTCCAAATAATCTTTTATCATTTGTGCTTTCGTCTTTAAAACAAATTTCCTGAGATGATATATTAGTCTCAAGTCCATCTCCACCCACAATGTCTCTTGCAGATTCGATAAAATAAGCTAAATTTGGAAAGAAATCTTCTACTACCACATTTCTTTTTCCCTTTGTTACTTGTAGAAACCTACGAAAAGTCATACTTATCTTTCTCTCTTTAATTCAACATTGCTTGTGTTCAGATTTCTTTTTCACAATCAGATTCCGATGAATATTCTATCTCACTGCAAACACCTGTCTTAGTCATATCTTTGAACTCCATTTGTTCTTTGATGAAATTAAAAATTTTAATGAAAGATTAAGCTCTTCGTGTCCTTGTTTCAACACCATAAACACATGTTGTTTAAACGACACAACATGTTTCAACAGTGGTGATTACATCCTACCGGGATCTTTTGAATTGTTGAGACAATTTGTCTATATCGCAACAGTTCTCGTTCTCAAACGTCATCTTTTATGAAAGGCGGAATATTTAACAACATTACCTCCTCACCAGATTTATAAGAGGAAAACTCATTGTATGTGCTTTCACTAAAATGCCTTGTTCTACAACCTTGTTCACCTTATCTTTGGAATCCAAAAAAAAAACATTCTGGAAGCAGATCTTATGCTTTCATATCCAACTATTTGTCCGGCCGCAAGGCTACATTCTTCCACAGAACAATCAACTCCAACCGGCACTTTGATTCCATGCCGCCGTTGCTCTAACCCTCCACTTTCCTTCACCCCGGCCATAATGGCCAAAAAGAAACTAAAATAATTATATTAACTTCAACACAATTTTCCAAAGTAAATTAAGCAATAAACTATCCGTGAAAGTTGGGAAAAACACAGTCGCTCTCACAGTCACGCTTCACTCACTCCACAGACGCACACACATACGCACGAGAGAGAGAGAAAGAGAGAGACAGCTCTGTCAACTGCTTAAAAAACTTTTATTCAAAACCAATCAAATAGGAATAATGAAACTTGTAAAGAATAAAATAATAATAATGATAACATCAATGACTCAATTAAAGATTGTTACAGTATATATAAAAAATGCAAACAAATGTACAGATTAAATCAGATCATTTCAAACGACCTTTTACATTTTGTCACCCAGTTAATCATCAAAGCGGATGTGATTGCTTGCTTCCTTGGCCTTAGCAATGATGATTTTCTCAGCTTTAGAAATGAGCTATGAAAAGCATACATTACACACACACACACACACACACACACACACACACACACACACACACACACACACACACACACACACACACACACACACACACAGACAGACAGTATTGTAAATTTAAATTGTTTTAGTTTGTTGTTGTCTTTTTACTGTTAAAAGTATGTTGAGTATTTATGTTACCTTTTCTGTTCCACGCTTTTTTTCTCTAGGAGTGTTCAGCTTTGCTTGTCTGTCCACCAAAATCTTCTGCCAGTACCTTCTTTCATGGTCACCTTTTTATTAATTAATACATGATTTAGATAATATTCTGCATTGACAAAAAACAGCTAAAAAACAGCATTCAAAAAATCCTACCAACCAGAAAGGAGTTCAAGGTTCCAGTTGTATTTTTTCTGAAATTCAAATCGTGCTTTAATGACTTTCTGTGCATCTTCAGAACTTTTAAAGCGAACATGACCCTCTGTATCTCCATCAAGAAGGTCCACATAAGCCACAGGGGACAGCTCAGATAGCATATCCTGCATGTATGAAAAAGACAAATTACTTATTTAATGTATATAAGATAAAAAGTATGACAAAAAGTATCACCAAATAAACTACAAAATTACCATACCTTGATGCACCTCTTGCTCGGCAGAGGTTGGTTATAGCTAATCTTGACAATGACACCACTTAAAAACTCAGGACCAGAAGTGAGCTCTTTCTTAGGTGTATCTTTATAAACTTTAAGAAAAAAATAATCAGGGAAATAAATAGCAAAAGCTTATCACAGCCAAAATGTCCTCACAAGCAAAATATACTCACAAGCATTCGTGTCATCCTCTTTAAGCTTCACGATGTGATAGTTTGTTGGCTTTTGATTGATCTGAAAAACTGACTGCTTCAGATGGGCCATGCAGCGCTTCTGCAGTGTGAGATACTCTTGCTTCAGGTCCAACCACTCCTTCCTGATATTTGAAAAAGGGGCAGATAGATAAACACTCATTAGCTTATGTGTGTTTGTGTGTGTGTGTGTGTGTGTCTAAGGCTAGGTTTACACTGCAATGCTTAGTGCTCAAATCTGATTTTTTTTCTCAGATCTGATTTTTTGCATGGCTGTTTACACTGCTCTTGTAAATGTGGTCAATATGAGATTTGCAGTGTGAATAGATCATGGTCCTAAATTAGGGGTGTCAAACATGTGGTCCGCGGGCCGGATCAGGCCCGCAAACACGTTTAATCTGGCCCGCGAGATGATTCGGTACAGTGTAAAAGAGAGAGAGAGTTTTAATTTTATTGCCATTTCCGCTTCTATGGCTATGTCATGGCAAAAAAACACATTTTATAAATAACACTTTTCTATAATTATAAAAATGTCCTAATAATTAAGTCATTAACAGCAATAAATAATACACAATGTAAAATACATAAATAATAATAATAATAATAATCATAATAGATAAGATAAAAATCTTAAACAGTTAAGGTTTCCTTTTGATTAAAATTCTACAATTATAGAAGGATTAAAATTTTTTAAAATTTTTACTTAAAGTCTCTCCAGATAAAAATATTTATCTGAGAACATTAAAAATAGGGCATTCTACAAGAATATGTATTACAGTTTGGTTTTTGTTGCAATAAAGACATTATGGGGATTCTTCTCCTTTGAGTAAAATGTTCATGTGTAAGTTTTGTGTGTCCAATGCGGCATCTTCTATACACAATCTCATCGTGTCTTGACTTAAAAAATAAATGCCATTTGTTTATGATATAGCCTTTAATTAATGGCTTTTAACACTCCTTTAGCTTTCCTGCTAGGGCTGTTTTGGCGGCTTTGTCAGCTTCTCCATTTCCAAATAGTCCAGCATGTCCTGGGATCCAGCAAAAGACTATATTATAAAACTTTCTCTGCAGTTCTTCACTTTGATAAAAATGTCAATAATAATAGGATGCTCCAGTTTAAAATAATTCAATGTCTGTAGACAAGATTTTGAGTAAGAAAAAATAATAAAATTGTGTTCTTCAGCATTTTTAATGTGTTCCTGCGCTAAAAAGAGAGCCTTTGCTTCAGCTGTAAAAATTAAGCTTTGAACAGGAATGCGAATGTGCGAAAAAAAAGCTGCTGTTCTAATTGTGTCCACTGGATGGCGCAACTTTAAACGGTTAATTTCATCTGAAGCAAGGAATTTTAACCAGTGAGCCACGACCCCTAGTGGGCCCAGCAATCCCACAGGTGGACCACGAGATTTAACTTGTAAAACGTAACTCTTAAAATTAACTCTTAATATATTACAAAAAATTTTGGATTTCATTATTAATATGCTATATTAAAATGAACAAAATAATGCACTTTCTCCGGTTCTGTGATTATTTACTTTAAACTCTGCACAAAAACAACCTCATGATCGCATCTGCAACTATTAAGCAAAACACAGGAGTCTGTTCATTCACAAACTATGCGTGAAGTGAAAGTTAGGGTGCATTTACACCTACACTTTTGTTTCGGAACGTGTCTCGATTGCACAGTTAGCGCGGTTCGTTTGGCATATGTGAACAGGGCAATCGGGCTCTGTTCCGCGCCAAAGTAATCGCTCCGAGATCGCTTGAATGAGGTGGTCTCAGCTCGATTGAAACGAACCCTGGAGCGGTTCGATTACAGTGAGAAAGCGATCCGATCCGAGCGCGGTTATATCACAGTGTTTTATGGATATGTATTAGGCATACGGCTAGATGAAGAGAGAATTATGAGCATGACGGGAAGTTTCGCGAGTCTTCTGATGCACTCGTCTTCTGAAACGAGTGATGATCTCCCGGTAATCTTGCGTCTCCCTCCCGGTGCTCTAATAGGCTACGTCACGCACCCTTCTCACCCCTCCCCACCGCATCTCCTCCTCACAATCAAACCACCACCTCTCCTGACAGCTTAGCGGGACGCTGCAAAATAAACCCTGACACTCTGACCAATGTGAGTAGAGTTTACTCGCACGTGACTTGTTTTAGCTCTTTTATTCCGATTAGAAACGTTGCAATGTGAAAGCGAACCGCTCCAAGAGCAAAGAGCAACAATGTAACAATTGTAATCTTTGTTTCGGAACAACTGAATCGATTCACAGGTGTGAAAGCACCCTAACTCTTTGTGTATTATTATGTGAACCATTTAATATACAAACCATTTATTTATATACATAGTTGTCCAAATGCGCCCATACAGAATCTAACAATGCTGGATGTTTCTGTTATAGACTGTAAAATAAACTTGCATATGAGTTTCATACTTGCTGGCGGAGTTGTTCACTGTTCCTGTCAGCGATCTCCCAATAATATCCAGATGCAAACTCAACTGCCATCAGATCGACACATTTAGGGTGTTGTTTACTGTATTTTACATTTGTTTTTATATTTTTGAATAGTAGATATGTAATAGTGAACATTCAGTCAGTTCAGCTTATAGCAGAAGCTGCTCTTTTTTTATATACTGCGCACCACGTCACTGAACTACAATATCTCCGAGGGAGATTATATTACTTTATAAACAACATTAACTTAAGAAATTTTAAAAATAAAAGGTATTTTAAAAAAGGAACAACACGCCAATCGGCAACAAATAAAACATCTTGCCAGGGTATGCTGTGTGTAATCCACCACTGACAGTGACATAAGACACCTTATGCAGCACCTTTCAACTGCCGCTTGTGTAAGAGAGCTCAAAGCTGGTATCGATATTTCAAAAAAGCAAGATCATATAGTTATAAATATTCCATAACAATACTTATCAAAATATTTATACGTTTACATGTTGTTTATTGAGATTTTTGAGATGTGCGATTGTATAGGCTGTCTGATCTTTACAGAAGCTGTAAACTGACACGCGTGCTGTGATGTTTAGCTCGGACGAGGCGATTTTATTTAGCCTGTAGTCTTTAGATTTTTTACACAATGTTTAATTTCTTAACATTTCTTTCTTTTTTTATTTATAGTTTATATATAAAATGAGTGCTAGCTTGTTTAGTTGTGATCATTATGCAAGGATCATATTTCATATTCGGTTTATTCTTCAACAGTATATATATTTGTTAATAATGAATTTTTATAAATGGATTGTTCATAAGGACTAAGCTATTAATATATAATGCATTAGGCTAATTAATACATTAAGAAATTGAAGTCAGGTAGGACAACAAAATACAACCAAACATGTTCCCCCTGTTGGCAAATTTAACCAAAAAGTATCTTTGCGTGTGCGCAACAAGCTGCGCATCTGAGAGTGTGTTCAGCACGATGGGGAACATAGTGAGTCCCACAAGACCCCATCTTAAGCCACAGATGGTAAACATATTGGCCAGGATTCCTGGCAAAGAACATGTAAAAATCACTGTTAATAAATGCCAATTTACAGTGTTTTATTTATTTCTTTTCATTAAAAGACTGTGTCGAGCTGTCATTTTTGTAATGTAATTTTGAAAGTTTTTCTTAAATATTTGTTTCTTGTTCATTCGTTTAATCTTATTTTAACTTTGTGCAATTTAATTATTTATCTTTCTATTTTATTATCTTGTTAGTTTTAAAAACATTCTAACATTCATCACATTCGTCCAAAACTGAAAGTATTATACGCACGCATTTATAAGCTATTTAAAAGTAGAAAGAAAAGAGGAAACCCATACCCCACAGTGATACCGGTATTACCGGTGTTGTCACATGTCGATTAACCAGTAGGGAAATTTCCTCATCGTCACAACCCTAATATATATATATATATATATATATATATATATATATATATATATATATATATATATATATAAAATGTAATGGTCATTCTTGACAGTTGTTCTTGGGTCTTTAGAAACCTCTCTCACCCACAAAAGGTTCACTCCCACACCCACCACCGGAATAACCAGCTGTGAATAGTTGTGAATAACCAGCGCCCTTCACCACCCTCAATACCAGAGCTGAGCTGAGTCTCTTGAGCAATGCACGATCCCTCAACTGGTCCCCTGGTGCCGCAGCACCACTGCACCGGGTGTGTGTTCACAGTGTGCATGTTCATTGCTGTGTGTGCGCACTTGGATGGGTTAAATGCATAACACAAATTCCGATTGATCACCATTCTTGGTCATGTCATGACTTTTACTTCACATTTCTGTTTACCTATTAGATAGAACAACAGGGATTTTTTGAAAGGGCATGCAAACATTTGCTGCACATTGTCATCTGAATAAGAAATAAACTTTTACTATAGCACTTTATGCATTGCTTTACAATTCACAGCTATATAGTATTAAACTTTTTTTTTTCGATATTGCTATAAAGAGCTGCAACCTTGATGGACTAAAGAGAGGAAAGAAACCAGATTAGTTTTCCTCAAAAATTACAAAGTCTAAGTGCACAACTACCTAATGCATAATATAATCGGCACAGACAAATGGGAATTGGAAGGGGTTTACCAGCTTATGCCAAACATCTGAAATGTAACATAATTTGGGCTAGATATTTTTCAAAATAAACCAGTTTACAAATTGGTTCAGTTCAAAATTACACTAGTTTATCTAAATGCATATACTCAAACTCATTATGCAAACATTTCACAGAGACAATTTTTAATGAATCTCAATTCTAAAACAATAAACACAGCTTTTCTTACTTTGAGAGGACTCTGAGAGGGATGACTTCCTCCCCTACTTTCAATCTCTCTTTGAGCTTCTTCTTTCTCTTCCTCTTGGCCTTCAAAACAGAATCATCTTTCTTCTTCAAGCTGTTCAACTCTTCATTCTTGTTCTCAGATGATAGATCTATGAAGGAACATGAATAAACATAAGTACATAACCTCAGTGTTTTGTTGTTTTTTTTTTCTAAATGTCATACTAGGAGTGTTAGGGAAAGTTATTTTTGAAAGTAGTGCAGTGTTTCCCCTACCATAATTTTAGGGGGGGCGCCCCACCCTCTCAAGGGCTTTCCCCGGCCCCTTGAAGTCAAGTTGATTGCATTTTATATATAGCACCAGATCACAAGTTCTTTTAATTAACAAGCTAAATAGCCATGTGTAGTATCTTATTTACACAACGGCATGACATTTCTGTCTCTACATGGTCGCATGATTACAAATTTCTGCTCTCTGAATCGCGCATGGTGGAGTTCACACTCTCTGCTGTGTGAGAATGAGTGCATGCCAGATCTGACAGGAACGAAGATGCACGTGCACTCCCGTATATTATGTATAGAATACAGCAGATACAACACAGGTAAATGATGTGCAGGGGCGATCAATGTGTTCGCGTCACAGTGACAGCAGCTAAAAATATATACAGATGCAGTGCGACTTGTTTACAGTTTATTGGTGAGACTCGCGCGCCTAATGCTCAGCTCTCTTTATTGCAAGTGCAGCCATAGCATCCCCACTGTTTTGAGCTGATGTGGCGCAGCCAGTCACCCCTATCTAGCATCTCATCCAACCATATGACCTGTCCCGGAAGCTCCACGAGTCTCCTGTAAATTTATACCAGCCCTGTTATCCCCAAAAATGAGTTAAAATACTCAGAAATCAATCACAGCGACAAGAGTGAATGAGCAAGAGTACAGATCATGAGAGGCAATGTAATAGCATTACAATTCTTCGGTTAAATTAATACAGCAGTAAAGACATCAAAAGTGCAAATCCCCCTATCTCTCTCACCATTGAGTGATCTGCTGTCAATAGTTGGAAACAAGCAAAATACTTGAATGGTCATGCATATGTTTAGGCCTTTTTACATATAACAACTGAAAGTTCGGTTTGACAATACTGCAAATTCACTAAAAGCTGGCTGGGATTATTAGATAAATAAAACTTTATTCTTAACATGAATATTTAATAATATAAATTCTTGTAATACACGCATTGCTATAAACAGTAGTTTATAGACCTCTTTCCTTTTAGTAAAAGGGTATTAGATTTATAGGTGTGCATTTTAACTTCTTATGCATCAAAAGCTGCAAAAATCCTGATCGGACATTTTGCTTGAAGATTTTAAGAAATGTTTGGTTGAGGTTGTCTGCTTATTTGTTTATACTGAACATGAAGCAGTAACTTTAGAATAAGCTGCAATTTTAGCAGATGGTTTTTGTTAAAAGTAAATTTTTGTATGTCTGTCTTCTGATCCTGAACTATTAAGATTGGGAGAGATACTGTACAAATGTAGCTTCTAGCCACATTCTTAGGCCGCATATACACTGCACTTTTCAAGTGACTCGATTCCGATTTTTTTTTTCTCCCATGTGGCACGGATTGGATATGGCCCATGTACGTGTAAGCAGGAACAATTCACATTGATTCCGATTTACTCAAATCAGAGTAAATCAAAGGCCTTGTTCATATGTGGAAATTTATCTGATTTGAATCACATCTGTGCCCTCATGTCTGCAGTGTAAGCAGGTAGATCGGATTTTCACCAGTCAATGCGAGTCATGCTGCATTAAAGACCGTAGCCAAAGACGTCAAGTCTGATGCTTTTATTTCAGAACAGACTTCAGCAGAGTCCCCCAAACCATACATGAGGACATTAACAGCTTTAATATAGTCATAGCACAGGTATTTAAGCATGTTAACGAGAGCAAGAGAACGCAATGTCCACCATGTATCCAATATAGACTAATATAAAACTTGTGCATATATTTTGTGCATACATCACGCCATGGACATTACATTAAGGGTGCTTTCACACTTGGTTCAATTGCCTGGACCGTACCAAAGTTCGATTGTCCCCCCTTTCCACCTCCGGTTTACAACCGTTGCTAGGTAACAGTCACGAAAGCAAGCGCCGAAATGGAAAGACTTCCGCACATCACAGTCATTTTGTTTTTACTGAAGCTTTTGGACATACAGAAAGCGACTCGCGTCTATCTGCCGCAAAAATATTATATACATTCAGAACATCACACGGTGTCTGCAGAAGCTGTTTTTGGAGGAGACAAGCAGACATCACTGTGTTTGCCCTGGCTCAGTCCAGCACATGTCACCAAAGTATGAAACGTGACACACACACACACACACACACACACACACACACACACACACACACACACACACACACACACCCCTGGATGATTATAAATGATGAATCATTGTAAATACACAGATTATTATTGTTTTTATTACTGTTTTATCCTAAAACTGTACAGTTTATTCTGATCTATTTTTGTATTGATTTGTACAAATAATTAATGTTCAAATAATAATATAATATATTGAATATTAATGTGATATATTGAATAATATGATGTATTGTTGATATTTTATTTAAGTATTATATATAAATATCATCTTTTTTTTACTACTACTATTTACTGTGTACTTTTTTTTGTATGTTCATATCTTTTCATGTAAACTTTATAACTGCTTTGGCAATACATTTGTAACAATTGTCATGCCAATAAAGCAATTATTGAAATTGAGAGAGAGAGAGAGAGAGAGAGAGAGAAAGAGAGAGAGAGAAAGCAGACTTAAATGATCATTCATATGTTTCATAATATCTTTGTATTTATGCCAATATATCCAAACAACTGATGGAAGATTGAGCTAATTTTCAGCAAAAGCAAGACAGAGATTTGATGTTGTTTTATTGTGTTTAAAATAGCTTTTTTTTTTTTGTATGCTAAATATTTCATTAGTAAACAGATTTTTTTAATAAAGGTTGGCAATTTAATGATTCGGAATTAGCCTTTGATGGTTATTTTAGTCAAAAAGTGAAAATATATATTTTTAAATAATATACAATGACAAGTCAATTAATAATAATAGGGCTCCATTTTGACTGTCCATGCGCAGAGCGCAAAACGCAGGGCGCAAACGCTTTCAGGGCATGTCAGGACGCGTTTTTGCTAATTTAAAGACGATAATCTGCCTTGCGCCGTGGCGCATGGTCTAAAAGGGTTGAGTCTATTTTCTTAATGAGTTATAGGTGTGTTTTAAGAATAAACCAATTAAAGTCTCATCTCCCATTCCCTTTAAGAGTCAGCTGCGTCGCGCCAAGTGCGCATTCGCTATTTACAGGACGCAAAATAAGTCTAAGTGGAAAAAATGAGCATTTTACAAGCAAACAGTTAACAGTTTTTTAACAGAAAACTGTTAAACGGAGCATCTACTGCGTGAGAATGAGAGATAAAAGATCTACTTTCACATTCGCTCTTGGATAGGGAAACCTTTACGCACAGACATCAATTAGTCTATAAATAAATACTTTTGTTGGTTAAGCGCAAATATTCGTTTCAAAACTATTTCTAATTTCAGTTCTAATTTCGAGCAAACGAATAAATGAACAATAACAAAATGTGCTCAAAAACCGGAGTTATATCCTAAAACACATGCTGTACCCCATATGGTCTAAAACCTGACAGGTGGGCAAATCTAAGCTTGTTTTTAATAAAACAAATATAAATATGGATATAATAAATAATACTGCATATAATAATAACATTATACAAAAGCAAATTGTTATGAATGAACTAAAAAAGCCTCCCAAGATGAAGAAAACATAAAAGCAGTGATTTTTCATATTTATGTAGGCTAGAAAATAATACGTTTTGTAATATTTTGATCCTTTATATTTATATCCTATATCTATACTTATTATATCCTATATATAACCTTAATAATTCAATTTTTTCATATGTAAAGATATTTTCATATTGCTCTCGTGCGTAATAAGCAGTGCGTAAGCGAGGCGCAACTCTGCGCCGGAGTTTAGACCGGGTTAGTTTTCTATTATAGTATATCTATTATAGTTTCTCAAAATAGCAACGCGCCAGCGGTCCGCCTCAGAACGCCTTCCTTTTTAGACCAGAACGCCTATGGGCGCACAAATGAGCGCTAATGCATTTGCTATTTAAACAGCGTAGTGCAACGCCTCAAAACGACTCTTGCGCCAAGCTGAAACTACCAAAAGACTATTGCGCCGCGCCACACTGCGCCAGGTGTATGATAGGGCCCTTAATGTTGACTAATTATCATTGTCGACGTTGAACACAGACAAAATCGCAGGAGCCTTATTAATGAATAACAATTATACACAAATGCATCAAAGTCCTTACAGTCATATGCTACATGATCTTAAGTGATATATAACCAATATGTATTTTAAATACAGAAGATGAAATTAAGTTTGTAAAAGCTCATAATATCATTTTTCCCCACAATTAAAGCTAGCAGATGTTTTTTGTAAAACGTTTTCTTAATTTAGTTCTTTGTGACCCTAAACATAGGTATAAACTCAAAGTATAGACAAAAACATGTTAAATGCAGCAAAACTATTCTAGTAGAACATTTGTCTGCTACTTTGAAGATTTTTAAGAGCCTTATAGCTAAATATATACCTAAATGCTCTTGGTCTGAGATTTATAGATAAGAAAGAGCCAAGTATACCTTTTAATCACATGAATTTATTAAAACAATATTTACCTTTCAATTCGCTTTTTTCCTCTTCAACTTTCCTCATTTTGGATGACATTTCATATTGGTCTTCCCCAGATGATGCCTCAAAACTCTGAGAACGCAATCTTTTCTTCTTGGCTTTCTTGCTTACTGTGCTTGTCAACGTTGCAAGGTTTGGTTCACTGGTAACTGTGCTCTCTAACATTCCGTCTTGATCCATATTATTACTTCCAGTTTCTTCTGAAGTACTGTTTTTAAGCTCCGTCTTCTTTTTCTTCCCATCCTCATCATTGTCTAAAAGTACAAAATGTGCTATTAATAATATACTGATCATTTAGTTATTATGGTAGAAAGACATCAACTGGCCACTGCCCTCTTTTACATTAAAATATTGTCAAATTAATTTAGGCAGTATTTTCAAAATACATAAGGCATATCAATGTTACCCTGTGTGACAGCATCAAAAGGGACAGCCTTTTTCCTACAAGTCTTTGGGAAGATTCCTGGCTTCCTTGGAGCATCTTCTGGAGGATTGTTCAGCATCTGTCATTTTAAATCATAAATAAATAAACAATTAAAAAAATAATAAAATAGAATAAAATAATAATAATAATAATAATAAACCAAAAATATGATAAACATAAAAATAAAAAAATGGGTGTGTATACCCAAAGCTAGCAACTTGGTGTTTGTATTTACATTATCTTTTCTGTATTTAATAACAATGAGCCCTATCATACACCCGGCGCAATGTGGCACAAGGCCTGACGCAATTGTTGTTTGCTAGTTTAAGCTTTGGCACAAGAGTCGTTTTGAAGTTTTCCGCCACGCTGTTTAAATAGCAAATGCATTTGCGCTCATATGTGCGCCCATAGGTGTTCTGGTCTAAAAAGGAAGGCGCGTTGAGGCTCATTGCTGGCACGTTGCTATTTTGAGTAACTATAATAGTCTGTTCTATAGACCAGAACAAAGCCGGTCCATTGTCCAGCTCAGAATGCGTTAGTTGTGCGCCTCACTTACACATTGCTTAATACACACAAGATGTAGAGCAATACGCAAATATCTTTACATATGAAAAAGAATTAAAGTACTAAGGATATATAAATAGGATATATTGAGGATATAAATATAAGATAAAAATATAAAGGATTAAAATATTACAAAACATATTATATTCTAGCCCACATAAATATAAAAACCATACTTCCATGCATGCCTTCTTCATCTCGGGAGGCTTCTTTAGTTCATTCATGACTATTTGCTTTTGTGCAATGTTATTATTATTAGCTGTATTATTTATTATATGTATATTTATATTTGTTTTATTAAAAACAAGCTTAGATTTATCCACCTGTCAAGTTTTAGGCCATATGGGGCATAGCATGTGTATTAGGATATAATTCAGTTGTTTGAACACACTTTGTTAATATTGTTCATTTATTCATTTGCTGGAAATTAGAACTGAATTAAGAAATAGTTTTGAAACAAATCATTGCGTTTAATGAACAAAACTAATTATTTATAGGCTAATTGATGTCTGTGCATACAAGGTTTACGATCCACGAGAGCAAAAGTGAAAGTCGATAATGAGAAGGTCTTATCTCTTATTCTTATGCTGCAGACGCTCTGTTTAACTGTTTTCTTGCTAGTAAAATGCTCAGTTTTTCCTCTTACTTTACGTCATGTAAATAGCAAATGCGCTATGGCGCGATGCAACTGAATATTACAGGGAATGGGAGATGAGACTCTGATTGCTTTATTCTCAAAACACACCATAACTCCTTGAGAAAATAAGCTTAAGACCATGCGCCATGGCGCAAATCGGGTTTTTCCATTCTTATATTAGAAAAAGTGGATTCTGACACGCCCCTAATGCGTTTGCGCCCTGTGCTTTGCACTTTGATCGTCAAAATAGAGCCCAATAAATTATATAAAATATTAAAGTTATCAACAGTTACCTCAACAGCTTTTTGTGCTTGCTCTTGCGTCTCAAACTCCACAAATGCAAATCCTTTAGAATGCCTTGTGGACTTGTACCTGGGGATACTAATATAAACCACATGTCCACATTTGCTAAACACTCGCTCCAGCCAAATGTGAGTGACTGTCTTTGGCAACAGCTCCTAAAACACAATTTCAATTTTAAGAGAATACACATTGAAATGACACATACAGTATGCTAGCATTATTATGTATACTTATTTGTAGTAATTTACCACATAAACTGTGCGACTGTCCACATCTTTTGGGGTTTCACCAAGTGGTTCCTTTCGTCGTATACGAGTTCCCTCATCATTAACCTAAGCACACCACAGCTGTGTTACAGTTGCTAACAAAGTAAGTGGATAATTCTGAAATAAAATTCATTTTATAAAGGACAAGAAATTGTCAAACCAAATCATACCTCTACTATTGTTGAGTTTTTAAGAGCCCTGGCTATCAATTTGACATCTGCAGTTAGGTTTTTCATTCGGTTAAACGTTGTCAGGACGGCAATGTCAATATCTGCAATATATAAAATGTTAAGTGAAATATGTACGAATGATGGGTATCCTGACAGATAATCATACAATTAATAAAGTTACATACATCCATCTCGTGATTGCTCAATGATACTCTTCATGAATCTGTCCTTGTGAAGATTCACATCACCAAACCAAAATTCCACCTGCTTCTTCACATCAGACAGCAGCTGTTTCACCCGGGATCTCTTCTTTTTCTCGTTATCTTTTTTCTCACTCAAGTCTGCACAGGCGGTGTCCCCGACAGAAGACATCTTCTCTGTGTCTATCGTCTTGCTATGGTTGAATCAAAGTCATAAAATTATATATCTGAAATTGAATAACAATTACGTCGAGCTGGGTATCCGTTTCACATTTCTGTCTTAACATTCCCGCTCTCCCAGTTAACTTAAATAATAATCACTTAACATTACCGTTGACACACTTTCATCCAGTTATTACTTTACTAAAATAACACACATCACCAATTTATATGGTCATACTATTATTGTAAGATACTTTTATAGCAGAACACTAATAAACTTAGTTCAAAGCAAATCGTTCGTTTACGAATTTTACCAATGCCGACGACTCATTTTCTTTAATAGCTGCTGCTGCTGCTGCTGCTGCTGCTTCTTCTTCTTCTTCTTCTGGATTCTACCGACAGCTTGCACCTTTTTGTCCAACTACTGCCATCTTTTGTTGTTATATGTCATAGCAGGGATTGCTAAAGGGAATTTGATATATCGCCCTCCGAAGATAAATACAAACCCACAGAGCACAGACGTTTCAGAACCCACAATCCCCATTCCTGAGAACATTCCTATTTTTACTAAGTTGCTTTTTTAATCCTTACCTTGATTATCCTTAGTTTTTACACTTACAAAGTCCACCAATAGCAAATGTGCCATGGTGCGACCAATGACTGTAAGGGTGCAACCAAGCGGCCATAGATATATACACTAGATATCGCATAGGGACCCTGATCATGCGTCAATAGCGCCGCCACATTGGTGCAGTGCTCCTAGGACAAATGTCATTCAACCGCACTTGTCAAGACAGTATTATTACGTGAAGATGCGGGACTTTAGCGCTGTCTACGGGTGTAGTAACGAGCAAACGAAAACAAAGCACAAAGGCAGAAGATTTCATAGGTAAGATTAAGTTTTTACGTTTTTGTATGTTATGAACTTTTGTGCTAAACAGGTAACGTTATTGATGATAATCAATCACTTAACGTTACTGCATTCACCATAAGGCAAAGTAGCTCCAATTCGCACTAAATACTCGGCTTATGCTAGTTTTGTTGAATAAAATCAGCAAACAATGCAAAAGAAATATGACAACGAGATGAGTCGTTCATAAGGGAAATTCATTCACAAACGAATCGCTCCCTCCGTATGAGTAGTAAAAGCAGGAGAGGAGGTGTGTTTCAGGGCACGGATTAGATCAAATTTAACAAGGAGGGTAGATTGTACATTTCCGAATACACAAACACAAGCTTTTTGTCAGGAATGCCAATGCGATCACTGATCCATCAATGTAGAAAAGTGATGTAAAATGATAATTTCGTAATTTAAAAATTAATTTGCATACTAACATCCAGGAAAACTCCCGATCATAGATATATGTGTAGATCTCTGGCTTTGGATGGCCACAGTCCTCCACCACTGTACCTTGGTCCCGCATTTATTTCAAAGGAGCGCTACCCTGTTCCAAAATGGCGGCATTCTTTTCAATAGACAACAACAGGGTAGGCGACATTTAATGTATATATCTATGCCAAGCGGCAACCTCCCGCTTTCCCTCGATATCCCTGGATAAATTTATATTTATTACTTTTTTTATTTATTAATTAATAGTTATTTGATTTTACTGCTAAATTTTGGTTTAAAAACAATATTGCTTACTATAGATTACTACAGTATTTAATGTGGTAAATCATTTATTAAAAAGTTATTAAAAAAATAAGAAAATAAACACTATTAAATCGCTTGAGTAAAATATTAATTTAGTGTTATACATTTGTTACATGTAAAAAGATTTTTATTACATATAAAATGTATTATTGCCGATATTAACTTGCTACTTCCTTCATTAAATGAATCCGTTATATAAATTAAACCTGTCTAATTTAGATCGTTTAGCAAGGCCAGCAAACGAGTATCTGCCATATTATTGTCAGATAATAATGACTGATCATCTATGATGGCTGATAGAAAACTGTTCAGTTTATTATATTGAATGGCGATCGGAAACAACGCTCTCCATTCACCCGTCTTGATTGCAATATTTGTGAAATAAAGTAAACACTATTGTTTATTGTTTACAATATTTATTAACCATACATTTTAAAATTAATCGATGACGATGTTCAAAAAGACATTAATAACATTAGCATCTGTTGTAACCATATATGGTTTGCCTAGATTGTGTGTGCCAGATTGTGTGTGCCATAAGCTATTTTGCAGGTCAGAGTTCACCAAGCTTGAACTTTGCACCGCAGCAACCTGTGAAACTTAAAGCATTACCCTGTGTTTCCAGTCTGACACATTCGCGTGCGTATGAATGGAAGTCTATGGGAGGAAAAGCCCAGTGTGACCGCAACTTGAAGCTGCAGTCACACTGGGCTTTTCCTCCCATAGACATGACCTCACTGTACAAAAATTGAAAACATGGAGCAATCGCTCGCCTTTTTAAATGCCAAAAAAGCTGGTTTAATCCCGACCCTTTTTGCAGCGCCGCACGAATATCACACACACAAACTCTAGTGTGACCGTAACTAAAAGCTGCGGTCACATTGGGCTTTTTCTCCCATAGACTTCCATTTATACGCACTTGAATGCGTCAGACCGGAATCGCAGGGTCATGTGGTGCAAAGTTCAAGCTTGTTAAACTCTGACCTGCAAAATCGCCTTACTTGACTGCGTGAGACCAACCGAGGATCAAAACATGACCTCTCTTAACAGAAATTTAAAGCATGGAGCAATCACTCGCTTTTTTTTAATGTCTAATAAGCTTGTTTAATCCCGCCCCTTTTCGCAGCGCTGCACGACAGAATAGGCTCGCCTTGACTGCATTGCAGACGAGAGCAGACGGCTGCAGTAAGAGTAGGACTGAAAAAACACAACGGAAGTTGGACACTCCTCGAATCTCACTGTTTTACCGGCCGGAAACGTCGCCAGGGGCGGAGATCGCGTTCGCGGGTTTTATCGCGGACAAATGACCTCATGAAAAAACACTATAGTGATTTACAGTACATATTATAGTATTTTTTAACATGTTTTCAGACTATAGAATTATATATATGTTTTCACTATAGAATTTAAATGGGCTATTTGTTGGAGGACAGAGCAGAGCGAGCAGTAGCATGCGTCAGAGAAGTTATAAAAGAGTAATCATAACTGCATGTTCTCTGTTTTTGCAGCACTTGAATAAATGAGACAGCTGAACCTGCAGACAGACTCCAGTTCTTTACTTTACATAACACAAGGGTAGGGGTAGTCGTGCCCGTTAAGACCGGCCCCGTCTACATTGGTGCCGTGACCTTCGAAAAGATCAACATCAGATTGACCACCGGATGCACCGGATGCATGCTGTATGCTGCATTCTTCATACCAAGGATTCGGTTGAACTTTTCCCTTCTTGACTTATCTGCTGGTGAGAGGTACAAAGACTCATTGTGAAACATCAGTGAAGATAATTTGACAGAGACCAAATAAAAGTGGAAGTTGACATATTTTTTTTTATTGTACACCTGCAAAGACTTTTGACAGAACAATTTCTTTTCTCTTTTAGCCTAATCGTAATAAAATAGTAATAATATTTGAATTATAATAACAAAAATATTTGAATAATAATTATAGTAATAATAGTTTTGATGAAAACAAAATGTCATATACTTACGCTGCTGATGATGTTGAAGATGATGTATATATTGGAGTAGGAAGGGGTACATTTTTTAGAAATATAGTTCATGCACCGGAAGCTATGGGTTTTGTTGACTCTCCAGTAGGGTTGGGTATCATTTGGGGTTTTTCTGATACCGGTGCTAAATCGATACTTTTAAAATTATACCGGTGCCAAAATGGTGCCTGAACCGGTTAGATTAGATTTAGCCACAAAATGATGGTGGATGACTCCAAAAATATTTTATTTGACAAAATATTAAAAAAAAAAAACATTTTAATAGAACAATATAATTACAGTTTAAAGTAAAGATTAATTCATATTGTATTACATTAATACATTTCCTTTGATCATTTGTTTGTTAGCATGAATTTAAGATTTGCATTATAAAAATTACATTAGCTTACTATTATCCTGTGTGGGGCGGGCAGGGGCCGCGTGCTTTTAGGAGCACATTTTAACATATACATCACAAAATCATTAAAACATTATTCGAAGTCATTTGTTTTCATGCATCACTCTGCATTCTTCATAAGCAAGATAATTAAATAACTTAAACTCAAAATAATCTTCCTTGTTTATTTATTTGACAAGTAACGTTATACTGGTGTAGGAGAACACATTTCTAACATTCAAGTACATCAAGGCACATTGCTGCATCTGTAAAATTTAACAGGCCTACAGTTGAAGTCAAAATATTTTGGCCTCCCATTCATTTAAAATAATGTTTCTGAAAATTTTACAGTGTTTCCTAAAAAAAATATTATTCTGGAGTCATAATAAGTCCTATTTCTTATTATTTATTTTGTGAATAAAATCAGTTTTTAATTTAAATAAAAATAAGGTCAGTATTATTAGCCTCCTTAAGAAATTTTTACTGTATATTTTTGATTTACTCAACAAATCAGTAACAAAATAATTTGACTTAATTATTGTTACTTTCGTAGTTAACTTATTAAGTCTAAATTACACTTTAATTTTAATAAAAAACTATAAAATACTTAAAGGGACTTTGTTTACTGTTTGTTTACTTTGTTTTGCCGACTGTTTGTAAATTCAAGACTGCATTTCCAAACGTGAAACTATGTACATTTGATTTCTGATTAATAATGGTCTCTGCATAGCCGAGGACTTCCTATAATAAAAGTGTTAAAATCGCTATTGAAAACAGAAGTCTAATATCATCAACGGTGGAAATTTTTAAAAGTGTTTCACAACATGACTGAAGTTTAATCTTTTTATTACCTGTGTCAATTTGCGCAGCACCGTCAGAGATAGCAAGTGCCTCGAAAGCAGAGGGAGCGAGCATAAGTGCCCGAGGGTGACACCTAAAGCACGCGAGAGAGGCTCTGCCTTTGAGCCCTAAAACATGTAATTAGGTTTGACATGTTTCCCCCTTACATGCAATTTTTGTAAAGACAGTTGCTGTGTAAGAATCCTTGCTTGTATAATCCGCTTTAGAATGCTTAGTTTAAGCATATTGGATGAACATGATCATGCGTGTTGATCTGAAGAGTGTCACTCTCGCTCAACGAAAACCACTGAAAAACCAGGCTGAATGCGCTGTACTGCGCGCGTTGTGTGCGTCTGTTCCCTAGCGACAATAACAATCGCCTGATATCGCCTGTCCGTATTCCTCAAAGTTGTTTAGAATGAAATGTTTAGT